TGTACTAAGAATAATTGTATTAACCTACTTATAACCTGAAACCAAACAAGTCACCAAGACCCTCATCAGAGTCCAGACAGTAGTTGTAGTCATCTTCATTTGGAGGTTCAAGCATCAAGAAAGGTTCGCAAGATATTTCAAATGTATCTTTGGCTAAAAAAACACAATAAAAAGTGACTACAAATTATGAAAACCACTTACTCAATAAAAGCAACTAACTCCATGCAATTATGAAAGAAGAAAAAAAGCTTAAAAATAGTAAGACAATGCAAAGCTAATTACAAACACTTTTTTCATTGTAAATCAAAATATAAATACATTAAAAATAAACTATTGCAATAAGAAACCATTTACTTTTGTAATTTTTACAAATATTAAGACAAAATATTGGTTGATAAAAAAAAACAGCAAATATACATAACATAACATTTGAGTACAGACTACTTATAATTTATGAAACACGTGTTTGTATAAATAGTAAATTAACTCATGAACATAATATTAATATGTTAATGTTTTAACATTTTAATTTAAAGCTTATATAATATATTAACACACATAATTATTAACATTTTCAATATCTGCTTCACTGGACCATAATTTGAATTAAGTAGATGCACATCATATCCATCATTAATATTATATAAGTACAATATTTCATGTTACACACAGCATTATGTGTTTTTTATGAGGTGTATGAAGAAGCGCTGATTGTACATAAGGCAGAAGCAGATAACACACCAGGCGACAGCTGAATTCCATGGTGCTACAAGACATACTTTACATGCGGCACTCGTAAAATTCAGCGGACGACTGACATGACTGTTTTTTCCCAACAGCAGTATACCCGAAGCAATGCCAAAATTTTAAAATTTTCGAATATTGTGGATGAGCAAAAATATAACACTACACCGTAAATGGTATAATTTTGCTTTTCAAAATCCCCAATAAGTTATAATGGGGGTTATAGTATTATTATAAGATTAAAAGCAAAAAGTATATAATACAAGACAAGGTTAGGTAATATAACAAAAAAGCAAAAAAATTTTTTTTAGTATTATTAATACTTATAAAATAAAAACTTTATACAACAAAATGATTATTTATTACTTTATAAGTATCATTGAGATTCTTTTAATTTAGTTTATCTATAAGATCATTAATACAAAGTCTAAATTACATTCAAATAAACAAAATTATTATTTTGATTGAAATTAACTCATATATTACATACAAGAAAAAAAGGAATAATAACTAGTTACTACTAAAAATAATTATATATATACATATACACACATATATATACATAAATGTTTTAAATAATAAGATTTATCTTGCAAAATTAGTTAAGAGATAAAAAGTAATAACAAAAAGGTGGCAATAGTATTAAATATTAAATTAAAAAGTGTCTGTATGTTGAACAAATTCAAATAATTATGTGAGTATTATACACACATGTACTATTAAGAATACTAATTTACAAAGTAGTAATATAACATATTATAAATGGAACTATTTAAATATGTATATATATCATAACAAATGTTAACATTTCCACCTTTCAGTTTCCAAAATATTTATTTCAATATAGCAATCAATCATTGAGATTAAATGCCACTAACCAATGAGAATGTACAACAAATTTTATGATAAGTAAATTCTATTTAATGATTTACATTAAAAAGGTGTAAGGTAGATATATCACATGTTTCAATAAACTTAACAAATGATAAGATATAGTATTGTTTACAAAATAACATTGTTGTAAATAAAGTTGTAAATGACTGTCAATAAAAAATAAAAACATAAACAAAAACAATACATAACAAAACAAAATTAACTACTGGTAAACCAATAAACATGATCAGCAATCGCGCATTTAGAATATTTCTATCATGCAATATACTGTTATTCACTTAAATGGAAACCAAATATAAAAGCTAGTAGTATAGTATTAAGAAGGTTAAATATTAGTTTGAACTAAAAAAAAGTAGAAGAAGATATAAGCGAGTAACTGTTACAGTTTGGAACTTCATGGCCATATCATGCATAAACCAGGATGTGCGTGTAAAACGTAACGTGGTATATGTGTAATAATTTGCATACCAGAACCACTTGTACTAGGTATATACTGATCATCCGACGGCTCTTCCTTGATTTTTCTTATTGTTGTATTCTCTAAATTTTCTACTGTTTCTGACTCCTCAATGTTTTCAATTTTATATTTGTGTGACAAATATGTTGGTGACTGTTGAATAACTGATGTTTTTTGAGGTGATTTTATAACCGTATTGCCAATTGTTGAATTATTGACACTCTGTAAAATTTAAAAATTATTTCAAATGAACTTTGAAACATTAAATAATTATACTAACCTGAGATGTATATGGCCTTAGCTGACTTTGTGGTTGGTGTAAGGTTGTATTGGTATTATACTCTGGGCATAAGAACACCTCTATTTCACCAGTGTTACTTTTCATGTACATTTTTTGCTAGCAAAAAAAAAAACATTTTAATATAAAAAGAAAGAAAGTATCTAATCACTCTATTCTAAAGTAATTGTCGAGTGTAATTTTTCATTGAGAAATAAGTTACTGTCGTGTATAAATCAAATTTGAATTCATAATTTTTTATTGATATCAATCACATAATTTATCAAATTAAAAAAAAAAAAAAAATCAAAAATGTCTGTAAATAGCTCCAAAATAAAAATATTTCAAAAATTCCATCATGAAGATGTAAAGAAATCTAAATTAATTCTTCACATTAGGTGAACATTATTTGTTAGATTTAAATCACCAAGAAAACCATATTGATATTGTTAAATATTGATTTTGCGTAATATTTCTCMCCCTCACCCTAGTTATTATGAATACTATTAAAATTTGCTAACATAAACCACCTTCATAGTTGAAAATCAAAGTATTATTACTGCTGTAAAAAAGACAATGACAGATAAAAAAAAAAAATTTATGAGGGMGCAACACATCCATATGTTGTCACAGTCTTACAAATGCATAACATAGTAAATTTGGGGTAATTAAGCATTTTTATTTTACAATTTACTATACACGCATAACTCACTTAAAAACTGAATTTTCATAAAAAAAAACTTTCAATAAAACACAGATAATGTTCATAGCTTCATAAAAGGTCTATTCACTCTAATTTTTAAGCTAACTGAAAAAAACGTGAACGGCTAAGTGTAAATTTGCCGTGTTATGCGTTTGTAAGACTGAGACAAAAAATACAGATGTAAATAATTTAGAGTTAAATCCATTGTTGCCAATGGCCATAGTCAAGTCTTAATTCAAATAAAAAAAAATAAATAAGGATGTAGCATCCTCTTAAAAGCACATTTCAGTAAAATATATTCATCACTTCTCTAAGAATCTAAAATATATTCAATATTATTATACTTACATCACCATCAATGTGATCTTGAGGTACTTGTAATTCAGTTTCTGGAGGGGCTTTAACAACCAAAACAGTCTTTWGTCTGAACGATTCAATGGACCTAATATCTTGGTAAGTTACATATCCAAATCTTTTATCTTCTGTTAATTGTTTTATATCTCGTTCTGTAAAAAAAAATTATTAAAATATTTTAACTAATTATAATCTCAATGATTAATTAATGATTTTTGTATGAATTTAAAAACTGTTTTAATTTCATTATTTTAAATCATACCAGTATTTAAAATTAAATTATCTAATTCTTCTTCTTTGGCTTTCATTTTTTCTAAGTCATGTTGAACATTATTTTTGTCTGATCCGTAAGCATTTCCACCTCTGAAAAAAATTGTATTGTGAATATTAACTACTCACAAGTCTACAAACATATAATTATTAATTAACATTTTTGTGTTAACTTACTTCCATTGAATATTATTTTTAGATTTTTTTTCCAAAATTCCAATACCTTCTAGAACATTGGTTATGTCATATATTCTTCGTTTTTGTACGTCCAACTTTTCAGATGCTATATTTAAATCAACAACACCATCTGTAGAATTTTCGAGCAGACCAATGAATTTTTTGGTCAATAAGCCCAATGAGGTATCATAACGTGTTGGACGTTCAGAACACTTTTTTCCTGCTACTAAAATTATATTTTAAATTATTACTCATATTTAGTCATTCATTAAAAAAAAAAAAATTAAATATTATTTTTCTAACCATTTTGAGCAGGACTGGGTTCACTACCAGCACTTGAACTAGACCATTTTCTCATTAGCTTTGCTGTTGAAGGTGTGACATCGTCATATCCAAAGTTGAGAGACTCTAAATTTAACCTTCGTTTTACACCCTTAAACAAAAAATTTTAATAAATGATAATACTAGTTAACAATTTTACAACATAAAGAGATATATTAAGTCTTAAAATAAATATCTAAGGACCAAAAATTTATTTCTTAGAAACATTAGTTCTCACTCATATATTTTACTCGGTATACAACATTTCTAGAGTAATTTCTATACAAACTTGTTACAACAAA